TTCCATCGCGAGTGGCGGACAGTGTATATCACTTTGGCCAACCCCATTCAGGTGGTAGGTGCATTTTGAGCATTTCCATCAGTCCTGAGAGTTTCATCGTTCCACCTCGAATATTACGGAAGATACGGGGGTATTTCCATAAGAAGTGAGACAAATTCGGATTTTTCAGGACTGAAATTTTTTCAGGAAAAAAGTGTATTCGTAGTAAGTTGGTAGTCCTGATCACGAATCTGAAGAAATCTTGAGCCTATTTTGCCCCCTAATATGTTTTACCGTAAAAATGGGGTGTTCCATCGCGAATGGCGGACAGTGTATATCACTTTGGCCAATCCCATTCAGATGGTAGGTGCATTTTGAGCATTTCCATCAGTCCTGAGAGTTTCATCGTTCTACCATTTCCATGTCATATGTCATCGATAGAAAATGTTGTACTATATACAATGATGCTGTTAATTTTTTCCAAATTATAATTTTTTTGCCTCCTTTCAACTCATTACTATATGATGTCGTTTTCTTTGCGAATTCAAATTGAACCGAAGCTCTGCAAAAATAGCCCAAAACTTAACCAAACATTTGGCAATGATAGTGTCAAATAACGAATTGTTCGACGTTGGTTTGCGAAATTCACTTTAGGAAATTTTAGCCACGATGATGAGCCCCAAAGTGGTTGACCTTCAGTGATTCATGACGAGGATTTGAGGCCACAGGTGGAGACTGTCCCATCACAAACTGTGTGCAGATGGAGAAAGAACTAGCCGTCAGCTCCCATGCGGTGTTTCATGGCTTAAAATTTATTGAAAAGGTTGAAAAGCTCGACAAGTAGGTGTCCCACGATTTGAACGATCAACAGAAATTGTCACGTTTCAAGGTCTGTTCTTTTTTGTTTTTGTGCAACCAAAACGATCCTTTTTTTTATTCAAATCGTCACGTGTGACGAAAAGTGGATCCTCTAACACAACAGGAGACGTTCAAGACAGTGGTTGAACACTGATGAGCCGCCTAGGCACTTTCCATAGTCAAAACCCCACCAAGAAAACACCATGGGTACTTTATGGCTGGTGTGACTCACTATTATTTTCTGCAGCCGGGTCAAACCATTACAGCAGAGTCCTATTGTGAGAAAATTAACGAAATGCACCCAAAAATGTTCTGCTTCACCCACCATACTCCCCAGACCTCTCGCCAACCGAGCAATTTGATAACTTTTTTACCGGTAGAACCTTCGCCAATCAGAACTAGGCAGAACCAGCCATCATCGACTTCATAGAATCCCAAGCACACAATTTTTATGCTGATGAAATTAATCGACTTGTGTTACACTGGCGAAATAGTACTGATTTTAAATTCACTGAGATATTACTTGCTCAAATTGGGCTCATAAAAACTTTGAAACAACTTAATAGAATTTGCAAGCTTCCAGTCCAGAAGGAAACTACAGTAATTAAATTTTAGATGTTTTTTCTGAAGAACTCAATGTTCTGATTTAT